CCCCTCTTCCTCTCCCCCATCATGTGTAACGCCCCCCCCGCCCGCTGACAACTTCAGAACACAATCAAGACTGTCCCCGTCATCGTCGCTGCGCCCATCCTTTGTCCGATTGCATGGGGTCTCCACTTCAGTGGTCAGAGCCCCGTTGCAGTCTTCGTCGTTTCGCTCTTGGCTATCGTCCCACTTGCAGGTGGTCTCAGCTTCGCGTAGGTTGTCTCTCATTTGCCACCCAAACTCCCCTGAACTATATCACTGACATCACAGCACTGAGGAACTTGCCGGCCGACTCGGTGATGCATGGGGTGGTCTCCTCAATGCCACCTTTGGTAACGTGATAGAGCTCCTCATTGCCATTCTCGCCCTCGTCAAGGGTGACATTGACATTGTCCAGGCGTCCATGGCTGGCTCCATCTTGAGTAACAGTGAGTAACAAGCCCGTGGCCCACTCTGCCAAGCATCGCCAAGACCTTCGCTTACCCCCCCACCCAGTCCTGCTTGTCCTCGGTATGAGTTACTTCGCCGGCGGTCTGCGCTTCCACGAGCAGCTCTATGCTGTCGTCGGCGCCCAAACCCACATTGCCCTCCTCGGTATCTCCGTGGCGGCCATCCTCCTTCCGGAGGCTTATCATCTGGCGTACCCCACCACCACCAACGAACCGGTGGAGGCCCAGTTGACAAACCGGGCCAGTACAAAAATGTCCCAGGCTGAGCTCAAGGACATTCTCAGCATGTCTCGCGGTCTCAGCTTCATCCTCCTCATCGTCTATGGCTTGTACCTCACCTTCCAGTTGTACACCCACGCCTACCTCTTCAGTCTCGACCGTGAGGAGGAGAACCACGATGAGCTTCCGGCACCTACCCACCACAAGGTCTTCCCCAAGCCCAACTGGGTGCCCTCGCTTCGCACTGTGATGAGCCGTGACACTTTCTCTAATCACGGGCGCAATACGCCTACTCCACCGCGCCCTTTTGTGCCAACCACCGATGCCGACGGACATGCTGCATTCAACCCTCACTCGCGCTCCGCCTCGCACGTCGACTTGGAACAGCAAAGGCAGGCTACCAGTCACTCGGTCTCTTCCTACCTTGCTTCTCAGTCTAAAATGGAGCGCGGCGATATTCGTCTTCGCGAGAACCGCGCCAGTGACGAGAAGCGTGCCTCTGATATTGAGAGCCAGCCTTCGCCTATCGAGGCTGGTCGCCAGAGCCCCGAGTCGATGCAGCTCCCGAACACCACTGTCGACATTATCGACCTCGAGCGCCAGCGTATCAAGCGAAAGGTTATCCCCAAGGCCATGCCCAAGGTCCCTACATACTATGCCTTTGGCTGTCTACTCATCTTCTCTGGTCTTGCGGGTGTCACCGCCGAGTGTCTTGTCGCCTCTATCGACGGCCTCACCGACAACACTGGTGTTTCGCGCGAGTTCATCGGTATGATTGTCCTTCCCGTTGTCGGTAACGCGGTCGAACACATTACCGCCGTTACCGTCTCGCTCAAGGATCGCCTCAACCTTTCGCTCTCGATCGCTGTCGGTTCGAGTGTCCAGGTCTCGCTTGGTCTTGTACCCCTTCTTGTCCTCATCGGCTGGTGGATCGGCCAGCCCATGTCTCTCCTTTTCGACACATACGAGACGATCTGTCTTGTCCTTGCCATCATCATTGTCAACGCCGCCATCGCCGACGGCCGCACCAACTTCCTCGAGGGCGCGGTGCTCATGATGACCTGGGTCTGTATGGCCATTGTCACGTGGTACTACGACCCACTTCACTAAAAAGGTCGCCCTGCGGCCCTCGGCGGAGCGGAGATGATGAAGGATAGGGGCGGGGCAGGCGGCGGGTGAGGACTCATCTCGGCGAACGTTCAACAGGTTCGCAATCGCTCTCCGCGCACATCACCACCACCACCACACAAACCACAACCTCTCTTCCCAATTGTAAATAGCCACGCAACAACCGCACATCATCGTTGTCCAGCCGAAGCTGTATCCAGGTCTTGTACAAGTACGAACAGTATCAAATATGAACGTATGAATTGAATGACCGTGAGTGTGGGGCGTTCGGTGCGTGTTGAACGAACGGGTGTGTATGAGGCGCGTGCATTCTCCTTGGGTAAACAGCATAAAGTCTCTTCTGGTCCATGCTGGTGGTAGACGCATCGCTACCTCTCAGCCTGCTGAACTTGAATCGAAGCAATTGAAAGAAATCACAAGAGAAGCCAGCCCGCAATGCCTATCACCAGGCACCTCGAAGAATGATTAGAGTGCATGTGATGACTACTGCCATCAGAACATCCATTGGGCAGTCTGGCGCGCTTGAACGATCAAGCTTTGATGAGATGCCCAGTCGTGGAAGTCGGAATAGCTTCTACAGTCGCGATTGCACTTGAACCCTTGGTGCATCCGAACTACAGTAGTGAGCCGTCCCCAGCACCTGACTGCACTGGACACATCTGAGACGGCAAGAAAAACGTTGTTTACATGTTTGGTGTTGGGAAGGAAAGCCGAGAAACGACTGGCCGGCCAGATGCCGGCTTGCCGGCCGATGAATTGAACCAACAACCTAGAGAGATTAGGTATTGCAGCCCTGAGAATAACAAGTGTTTTGTTAATCCCCGTTACGCGCCAGACGCTGGGCTTTTCTCTCGCCTTCCGCCCCTCACGCGCCTGGGATAACTCAGTCCAAGGTCGGTAGACGACAACAACGCCTCTTTCTCTCTCATCTCGGTCACTTCATCTTGTCTACACACATACTTACGCTCTCTCTTCTCATCGAGTACCCCCCTCCAGTATCCCCCGGATACACACGGACACATCCAGCACACACCATCTGCTCTTTCCCCACACACGTCGTGCCGCCGAGCCCATCGCTCTCTCCCCGATCGCCCGCCCCCCCCCCCCCCCCCCCCCCCCCCATATCTCTTCGCACCTCCAGCGCATCTCACTAGCAGTCCCCCTTCCAAATTCGCCATGGCCACCCGGTTCGGCCCCGGGGCCCAGCAGTTCCCCTCGCCGCAAAGCGGCAACATGCGGCCCGGGTATATGCGTCTCGGCAGCACGAACAGCACGACCACCCCCAGTCCCAACGGCTACGGCCATCCGCAGCGGCAGCCGAGCGGCGGCGGCAGCGGCGGCGGCGGCGTCGGCGGCGGCGTCGGGGCGCCCATGCGCAAGCCGGACCGCAAGGACGCCAAAGATGTCGCGTGGGTGCACTGGCGCGCGCTCAAGGACTTCCTCACCGCGTTCGGGAACAAGGGTTCGTTTCATGGCGCCGAGATCCATGCGCAGAGGGAGGCTCACACCAGAATCACCGACGGCGCGCGCGAGCGCCCGCGAAAAGCTCACGCGCTTGACCCGCCTCCAGTTCTTGGAGCTTAGTACGGACGTTTACGACGAGCTGATGCGCCGGCTCGCCGAGGAGAGCAATAACCCGGACAACACAGGTGCGATCGCACCCCAGCTTCGCTGACCCCAGTGGCCCCGTTCTTGCCGGTCCGCGACGACTTCCACCCGAAGCGCAACCAGGCGCGGCAAAAGCTTGCGACGCTGCCCAAGAACCGTTTCAAGGATCTGGCGAGCGACGTCTTCTTCGAGCTCTGCAGGAGGTATCCCGAGTTTGAGAGCGAGGCATCCAAGGCCGTCGACGGCGAGCAGGAGATGCTGCACGAGGAGACCCCGACGCCGACGTACGGAGGCAGCGGCATCCCCCCGTCCTCCAGTTCGTCGAGCTTGGCATCGCAGACGCGAGGACAACAACGACCGACGCACCAGCGCAAGGGCTCGTCCATGGGCAGCAACAGCAGCGCCGACCGGGAACGCAATAACGCGTCGGTCAACTCACAAGCGCGCGACCGCTACGCCAATCTCACCACGCCGACCAACGACGTCGTCGTGCCCAATAAAAGTCGCCTGCTGGAAGAAGCGATCGAGGTGCCCTACGCGCGTGACTCACATCACGAGGAGTCGGAGGCGCTGCTTCAGCACGGTGGGGGAGGAGTGCGCGACCAGCGCGCAGAGTCGCCCTCCCAAACCTCGGCGTCGCACGACCCGATGTCGCCAAACGCCACGGATGAGCAATATCTCGATCGCATGTCGTTCTCGTCCAACCCCACACGGGCACGAAAGGGGAGCATCAGCGGCCTCACATCCCCAAAAGGATGGGAGGACCAGGAACACAAGCTGCGTGCCGAGTACGAGCTGCGCATTGCTGGGTTGGAGCGGAAACTACAGGCGGCAGAGGGCGAGCGGGAGGACATCCAACGCGAGCTGGCGGACGAACGCGAGCGGCGCAAGGACTACGAGGACGAGGTGCGCGGCTTGAAGGAACGCTCGGCGGGGCACGCGTCGACACTACGCTCGATGCAGGACGAGCTGGACGTGTCGAGAGACGAGACGGCGACCGTGCGCAAGGAGTACGACCAGAAGCTGCGCCAAATGCAGCACGGGATGCAGCAGGCGCAGGAGGAGATTGTGCAGTGGCGCCAGCGGTGCGAGGGCTTCCAGGACGAGCTGCACCGCTTGGAGACGGAGCGGGCGGAGCGCTCCACGCGCGACGTGGCGCCGGCGCCGGCGGTGGTCGCGGCGAACGGCGAGTCTGTCGCCGAGCTGCGGAACGAGATGCGCTCACTCGTCGACGAGCTGCGGTCGCTGTCGATGCAGAACGACGAGCTTATGACTGCTCGCGAGCACGACCGCGAGAAGCAGAGCGCGCTCGAAGCACAGGTCGACGAGTACCGCAAACAAGCAAATGCGGCGCGTACAGAGCTACGCAACCTCAAGGCCACGTCTACGATGTTCGTCTCGCAGCCGCTGTCCAACGACCACCTCCCCGCCTCGTCCGACGGCAACATTGCGGACGTACACGTCTCGTCCTTCCAGTCGGGCATCGACGGCCTGCTGGCCGCCGCGCGCTCGTCGGCGCCATCCGGCGTGCTGCCGTCCATGAAGGCGGTGGTGGAGACCGTGACGAGCATCGGGGACGACGTCAAGGCGTTCGAAGACAGCCCGAATCTCGACGTGGACGTCTCGCGCCTCGAGTCGCTCAAGTACGAGTCGACGACGCGCCTCTCGGCCCTCATGACCGCCGCGCGCAACCACGCCATGGCGAGCGGGCTGTCGCCCGTGTCCCTGATCGATGCGGCTGCGGGACACTTGACCGCCAACGTCGTCGAGATCATCAAGCTCCTCAAGATCCGGCGGTCGGGGAGCACGCGCGAGATTCTGAACAAGCAGAACTTGAGCATTGGGGAGATGGTGCGCCGCAAGTCGGGGTTGTACGCGAGCATAGACGAGGCGGAGGAGGACGCGGCCGCCGCCGCCGCCGCCGCCGCGCGCGGCTCCATGTCCCCTCCGGCGCGATATGGCGAGCGCAGGCCGAGCGGTGGGCTGGGACACAGCATCAGCCCGCCCCGCGCATACGGGCTGTCGCCGATACCAGGGTCGCCGTCGCGGCTGGGCGGGCTGGGCGCCGCCCCGCCGAGCGCGTACGAGGCGCCCGAGCTGCGCGTCACGTCGTTCCAGAGCGCCAGTTCGGCGGGGAAGCATTCCGAGTCGTTCGACTTGGAGCGCAAGGCGTCCGTCGTCAGCAGAGGGAGCGAGTATGGGGACCGGGATCCGTTCGCGTCGGCGGCGACGCCGACGCCGACACCAGGGTTGCGGCTCGCGTCGGCGGCTGAGAGCGCGCCACCCGTGCCCTCGGTCACGGTCGCCAACAGCTCGCCGGAGAATGTGCGGTCGCCGCTGGAACAGTCGTCCAGCCCGTCGTACTTTGACCAGAGCCACCGCCCGCAGGACTCGGTGGACAGCGCGCACCGCTCCAACGCCAGCTACGACAGCACCCACCGCCACGACGCGTACAGCAACCACCGCTCCAACACGTCCCACGACCACAACCAGTACGGGAGCAACAATCCGTTCGCCGCGGTCGCTGCGGCCCAAAATAACGGGTACGGCCACCAGAGCCAGTACAGCGAGAACCACAGCGCATACTCTGACACGTCGGCGGGGCCGGACGCCGAGTGGGACGCGCTCAAGCCGTACCTCAACACGCAGAGCAGCGCGCTCGTCAACCACATCCAAAACTTGCTCGCGGCGATCCGGACGGGCGGGCAAGGGCCCGCACTGAACGAGCACCTCTCCGAAGTGATCGCGGTCAGCAGCTCGATCGTGGGCGTGTGCCGCGCCTCCCTCCCGCCGCGGCTGCAGGCGCAGGGCGAGCCGCTGCTCGCCGACCTCGTGGGCAACACGGACCGGCTGAGCGAGGCGCAGCAGGCCGCGTCGCGCGCCGGCGGCTTCGACAAAGCCTTGCGGCAAGGCATCGCCAGCGCCTCCTTCGGCGTCGCAAAGGCCCTCAAAGCCTTCATGAAGGTCGGCGGCACCGCCGAATAGCTATAATGTAGTCCTACACTGTATCGGATGTCTTGGTTTGCCACTAGCCGTAGATCTCGGCGTTGAGCCCCGTGCCCCCGCTCCACTCTTCGGGGCCGAAGAGGCCCGCCCAGCTCGCCGGCTCGCGCAGTTCGGCCTCTGGCGTCAGCTTCGTCGAGGTAGACGCACCGATGTCGAGCAGGCGCAGCACGGCGCGCGCGAGCGCATGCGCGTCGCCCCGGTTATCTCCCTCCACGACCCATGCGGCGATCGCGCCGCTCGGCTTGTCCGCCAACGCGGCGAGGATGCGGCGCGTCAACCCCGCGCCCGGCAGGAACGGGGGATATCCCGACACGGGCTGGTCGAGCGTGATCCGGAGGGGTGGGAGGGCCGCCAAGCGGTCCAGCACCGGCTGCGGGAGATGGTGCGGGGGCAGGATGCACTGGTGCGGCGTGCTGGTGTCAGCTGTGTGCGGTGTGCGGGGCGGGGGTGGGCGTACAGCAACTGCGCGTCGTCTTGGTGCGCGGCGTCGAGAGATGCAAGGACGAGAGAGACGCCCGCGTCCGCGACGAGCGTGGAGATGAGGAACACGTGCTCGTCTTTCCTCGCTTTGAGCGTCGGGGCGCGCTGCAGGAGCACGAACAAGTCGCCGGTCGGCGTGCCGTGTAATTCGAGGCCGCCCGTGGCGATCCCGTCTTCGCCCCGCCCCGCGAAGGGAGCGACCGTGTCGCCCAGCCCTACGAAGGCGACGCGGCGGAGAGAGAGCGAGGTGACGAGCAGGTCGGCCGCGAGCTGCGGGACGTTGCCGAGGGACAGGGCGGGCTGGCGTCAGTTTCTTGGTTCGGCGCGGCGCGCCCGAGAGCGCCGGCAGCTGCAGAGTGAGACGAACGCACAATAACCACCGTAGCACCCTTGAGGTGCGCTGGGTCGAAGCCGTTGACGGGATAGATGGTCGTGGACATGTTGTTGTTGAGAACGCGCAATGACGCAGCCACCAACTTTCTGTTCTGTAATCCGGGCCGCTCGACCGCCACGTGCGAGACCTTTGCCACCATAGCTTCACCGCACCATAGCTGCGTTGATATTTCTGTTTCTTGCGCCGCATCACCTCACCTCCAAAGCCCAGCCCACCTTACTCCGCCATAGGGCTCCTCGACAACGCTGCTGCTCTGCTGCAGAACACCGCGGCGGCCGGTGGGCCCACCCTTCCAACGGACTCACGCGTACTTCGAGCGGAGCGCAGCCAGAGGGGGCCGCTTAAACACGTCGTTACGTAACAGTACCTTTCCGATGACCGCACTCATCTGTCTGCCAACGTGCATCAACTGCTCCTCACACCTCTGCAACACTCCATCCGCAACCATGTCCCGCCTCGGTGTCGGGCACGCTGCAGGCACCAAAGGCGCGCACTACACCGCCAACCTGGGCAGCGCGCTCGTGCGTGGCGCCTGGGCCGAATCCAACCCCGGTGCGACACCGAGCGGGGGCGCGCTGCCGTGGGGCGAACTACTCCGTAAATGGGGCAAGCACACGGGTGGAAGTGAGTGCTCGCGCTGTTTGTGTGCGGGGCTAATGCAGACACCGAGGTTGTTGGGGCGCTGAGAAGCATTGCTGCAGCCGACTTGCGTCGCGGATCCACGCGTGACGAGGTCGACGGGCCCGACGGAGCCGGACCAGATGCGTGGGCGCACGGCGCGCGGTGGGCGCGCACCCCACTTTCGTCAACGGACGATGTCAAGGCCGCAGTCCAGGGTTTAATGGCGCTGCCGCCGACGAAACTCAGCGAGGCCGAGAGAAGAAGCGCTGCCCTCACATCTGCGTATGGATTCTACGTCCTCGCCGACTACGACTCGGCACTGAGCGCGTACGGCTCGTTCGAGTGGACGAGCGATGCTGCTGACGGCGTGGTCCCCGGCGACGCGGCGGTGACGGAGCGCGTCCGCGCCCGCGCCGTGCAGGGCATGTGCTTTGAACTCGCCTCGCGTCCCGACACGTCGCTCGCCCTACAATGTTACATAGAGGCCATCAAGCTGCTCGACAAACTCTCCTCCCATCCCCTGCCCACCCCGGCATACCTCCAACCCGCGAACGCGAACTCAGCCGCGTCCAGACCCACACCCCCAGGTGTCGACCAGCGCGAACTCATGCGCTACCTCTCGACGGCACTTACCCGCGCCGCTGCCATCGCCGCGCACACCTCTGAATCACATCTCACCCTCCGCATCCTCAGAACGTACCATGCCCTTGCAGCGGGGTGGCCGCCAACATTCCGAGCGCGCCAGCGCCAGCGCATGCTCAGCCTCTATCTCGCGGCACTGTTCGAGGCCTTCCCACCAGCCGGTGCCACCGTCCCCGAACCATATCTTCTCTCGGGGGGCGTTGCGAACAGAACTGCGCGCGTTACATGGCGTGCTGAGGTCGTCGAAGCGCTTCGCTACGGTCAGCGCCTGCTCGAGAACACTACGGCCTTCCCTGAGGCAGGCAAGCTCAACGTGCCCGTGATTCAGTTTGCCGACCAGGTATCCCTCTTCCCCGATCACGAGCGCAGCCTCACCCGCGACGCGATCGCCATCCTGTGGTGGGCAACCAGCCTCACGTTCCAGAGCCAGCTTATCCTGCGCCGCTTGACGTGCCTCCTCGCCACGACAGGAGAAACAATCGAAGCTCGTCGAGTCTTTGAGCTATATGTTGACACGGTGTTGAAAGCACGCTTGGCCGAGAACCCCGAGTCGACCCTTGCACTGCAGCGTCAAACGACGATCGAGGACGGCGAGCTGACCGACAACCCGAATGACGAACCAATCGACGCCAACGGCCACGCGAATAAGGATCCAGTTCTCCACGGAGAGATGGACTCGAACAAGGACTTTGTGATGACGCTGCTTGTCGGCACGCGATTGCTCCTCAGCGAAATTGGCGACGCCAAGGAGGCATGGCGGTACGCGACGCTGGCTGGTGATGCGGTCCGGCAAGGCGGCATCTCGCGCAAGGTCGCAGCGCTCGTCGAGGAGAACAAGGGCGTGGTCCGTCAGGCCATGTCGACAAAGGACGCGGATAGAGTCGAGAGACCAAAGTACCAGGCACAGGCAATCAACCATCTGCGGAGGGCGACCGTTCTGGATCCCACATCAGCGAGAGCATTTTATCACTTGGCGTACGCTGAGGGCGCGGCGCGGTCTATCCAGCCAGCTCTCCAGGCTGTGAGGGAGGCGCTCGAGCTTGACGATCACAGTGTGCGCTCGTGGCACTTGCTCGCGCTGTTGCTCACTGCCACCGGTGACTGGGAGGGGGCGTTGAAAGCCTGCGAGGCGGGAGTCACATTATGGGAGGCGGACGACGAGGCGCTCGCCGCCGAGGAAGGCGACCTCCCCACGGTGAACGGACACGGCGTCACGCCACCTCGGCCGCTGCTCTCCCCACAGGGCGTCTTGATCACTCCAACACCCGCACCAATCCCCCATCCATCCCGCTTCCGCCGTCTCGAGAGCGTGATCCAGCTCCGCATGACGCAGAACGTCATTACGGAGAAACTGCGCGGGCCCGACATCGCCCTCGAGCAGCAGCAGGAGCTCTTCCTCTTCTTCTCGCAGAGAACGGAAAAGGGTGAGCGTGACGAGCGCCGCCGCTCAGGTACGATCAGCACACGCGTTCCATCAATAAGAGGGCCATCGCGCGGCTCTCCAGTCCCGGGGCTGGCGCCAACAGACGTGACAGTGCAGCCACCGAGTCCAACACGCGCCGCCACGCCAGCCCGGCCACCAGTAAACGAAAGCGCTGTTGAAGACGAGCCCCGACGACTCCATCACAAGAAGAGCCTGCTTCCCAAGCACCTGCATGTGCCGAGCGTCGCACGGTCACACTCCCACACTCGCAGCGCCAGCGTGCCGAGCACTACCCTGCGTCCAGAGTCGGTGCCGAAATCCCGCGCGGCGAGCGCCGCATCAGGGTCCGGCGCGCCGAGTATCGCGCCCACCGCAGTTCACTCACACTACGCCGGTGCGGGGGCGAGAGGCCCACCTCCACCACCCGTAAAGCAGGTTGTGCGCCGCGCGCCTGAAGAAGAGCGCCTTCTCTCAGACCTGTGGCTGATGAGCGCTGCGTCATTCCGTCGCGCGGGCAAACTCGAACAGTCCCTCGTGGCTATCGAGGAAGCCGAGACGCGGGACCCGGAAAACCCGGCGGTTTGGGTGCAGCTTGGGCTGTGGAATCGCATGGCCGACAAGGTCGAGGACGCGCAGATGGCGTTCACCAAGAGCTTGCTGCTAAGACCCGACTACCCGCCGGGTGCGGTCGGCGTAGCGCGGCTTCACGTCACTGCAGGTGCCATTGACCTCGCACACTCTCTGCTATCCCAGCTTGTGCAGGATAGGGGGTGGGATGTGCCGGAGGCATGGTTCACCTTGTCATCTGTGTGCGAGCGGCAGGACCGGCACGCGCGGGCACGCGAGTGCCTGCTTTACGCTCTGCAGCTGGAGCGGACACGGACTTGCCGCGCCTTGCCAGACGCGCTGCCGCGCTGGAACGAGTAGACCGGGATAGCACAGTACATAGATGTGTGCATTCAATAGTCACGATGCAACAATATGGACGTCTCTTGTAGCCTCTGAGCTGCTAAGCGTCTAACACTGTACATAGCAATCTCTCGATGCGTCTACACCCAACCTCTACAATTACTCACGCCCCAGCACACACTTCTCGACCCAGTACTCGTGAATGCGCGCGTCGCCGCTCAGTTCCGGGTGGAACGAAGTGACGAGCTTGCGTCCCTGGCGCAGCATGACTGCGCCGGTAGTCGAGACATCGGGCGGCCCGAGTGGCGTGTCTGCGGGTGGCGGCGCAGCGACACACTCCTGGGGCAGGCTGGCGAGGATCTCAGTGCCTTCTATACTCTTGTCGAGCGAGTGCACTGCTGGAGCGCGGATGAAGATGGCGTTGAACGGCTCCGGAGACGACAAGCAGGGGATGGACATGGCGCACTCGAACGACTCGAGCTGCCCGCCGTACAGGTTGCGCCAGACCTTCATGCCGCGCAGTCCTCCCCAGCGACCGCCGTCGCCCTTGCGCTTGCCGCCGCCCACGTCGTCCGCCATCAGGATCATGCCCGCGCACGTCCCGTATACTGGTCGCTCGGGGTCCGCGACGAAGGCAACCAGCGCGGGGAGCAGCCCGTCGGTGCGTGCTGCGACGCGTGTGATCGCGGTCGACTCGCCGCCGGGGATGACAAGGGCGTCGCAGCGCTGGCGTCAGAAATCATCACATGCGGTTGCCATCAGAGACTGTCACAAAGACATGATCGGCCACCGTTGGCGAGGCACAACACTCGACCACTTGTGCCCATCGGCCATCAGAGCACGGATACTGGTCGGGTGCCGGTGCAGCCAGTGATGACGGACTGCGTCTTGGGGTGCTTGGTGGCGAGTGCACTGGATCCAGACACATCTGCAGGCCGCCAGTTCGCCGCCCTCCGCCTCTAACGCGTGAAAGTGAATCGCTTCACTCACCGCCAACTCCTCCGGCGTCCTCACAGCGATCGCGTTCAGCTTCGTGCCCTGTGGGCGCACCCTTCGTTCAGTGTCGTCAACAGCGCGTCTACCTACCGCTCCAAGTAATGAATGTGCTCGATGAACGCGCCCTGGAGCGCCAGGACGCCGACGGTGATGCTCTGGGGCTGCGACACAGTCATCGTGATGGTGAACGCGTCGAGAGTGATGTAGTGGAAGTGCAGACCGAGGTGGGCGGAAAATGGTATTTCGAGTCAGTGCGGAACGGCTCTTGGGCGGCGCCGGGTGCCGCGCATGCCGAAGGTGGAGGCGGAGGTCAGATCCGAGGGTGGCAAAAGTGGACTGATCGCGTAATCGGACAGCGGGAGCTGTTTCACGTGGGTGGAAAAGCGGAGATGCGCTCATGTCCACATGCCGGTCAAACAACAAACAAACAAACATGTCACTGCGGACGAGCCTGATTTCTGCTGTTGATCCCAGTTTCAAGCTTTCTAGAGGACTTGGCAAGCTTATCCAAAGCCACGGTGGAGCGACCAGCCTTCGTTTGACCTCGGCGCTCGGCGCCCGTCTTGGCGCTCATCACGATCGGCGCTGGTCCGGAGGAGGCAGGCGAGCGCTGTCCGAGCTCCCATGTGCCGTCTATGCCCAGAGGGCCGAGGAGCGCCGAGCCTCAGACGCACTAGACCCCCAGGGGTGTCACATGCCCAGCTTCCAATGACCGCCCTTCCACGCCTCCTGATAGTCACCGTTTCCCTTCTAATATTCGCGCACACGTTTCCGAATCCGCTTCCGATGGCTGTCTGCGGGCCCCAAGCGTGCTTCACACTTGGCAAGTTACGATGACTGTCTTAGAGTGATCAAGTAACGATCTGGACTGGTGCTGGGCTGCTGAAACTGAAGCCTTCAGCGCACGGCCGTATTCTTCGGGGAACGGGGAGGTTGGAAGCGATTCCAGTGCTCCCTCACTCTCCCGTCCCCCCACCCGCCCTCCCGCGAAACGCCCCGATGATCTCTGTCCTTGTGTTCTTCTCGGCTCCCGACAGCCCGACAGGCGCCGAGACATATGCGAGGGAGACTGGCACTGCGCGAGAGGAATCATGACGGCGTAGGCAAGACCAGCCTTCTATTGGGCACTCCTTGGCATGCTGCCTGGTGCAAGCCCTGCAAGACATGCGCGCCTGCGCTGCCAGCCTCTGCTTGGCAGCTGCAGTCCTCCAATAGATATTCCCGCTGCAGCTCCAATGCCCCCACCTGCCCTCCAGCAAGGTGCCGAGCCGTCATATGTCAGGAACTGGGTACTGAATTGTCAATGTCGGACATGAGAGATTCGGTGCATTGGACGAGGATGAGTTAGGGTTATCCTAAGGCACCGAGTGAGACCGCGCCTGACTTTGCTCTTGGGTGGCGGCCCTCGTCTACCGCGGCACAAGAGAACCGGCATGGGCAACCCCGGTCGTCCCCTAGATGCCCAGCTGTCAGCTGGCCACTCAGCCTGCAGCTCTGCACCCCGCAGCATCTCTGCTGGCGCTGCCCCAGCAGGCCTGCACCCCCCGGGCCCCTTCAAAAGCCATGTACCGGTCTCACTCCCCGCTCTTTTCCCACACCACCCAACACATCTTCATCTCGAGTTCCACTCCCCCCAACGTGAGTTCAAGCCCACGATGCCGCCGCCACCACCTTCATCGACAACGACGCAAGTCTGCGAGTGAATGGTGGTGGTGGCCCCACTGGCTGAGCCGAGTGGGGACGTGCGGAGCGTGGCGGCGCCGCCTTGTGAGAGTCCGAGCTGATCGCCCTTCCCGCACGCACGATCTTCTTTTGGTTCTCTTGCTCGATTCCTTCTTTCAATGTACATCCATCCTTTTTTGATGGCGAACAATGCTCCCCCGTCGATCTTATCACTCGCCACACTCGGTATCTCGGCATTGGCATCACACCTTGTCTTGCTCTTTTGCTCCACCCGTCCATCATCCTCTCAACTCCGCTTGCCCATTCGCCTCGCACCCACATTAAACAACACCTACATCATGGTCGCCACTCCTCTACACTACTACTTGCCACCTACAGCCGACGCTGGCGTCAACAGGTATCTTCTTCGCTGGTCGAACGAGCACGCGCTAGCCGCTGCCCACTAGAGTTACCTTCTTCTCTCCCTCTTCCCCCCCCCCCTCCATCCGCCTCTTGCACTCTCCGACGCTACACCCGCCCCTCAAACATGTTCCACTCGGTTGTTCTTTTCGCCCTCTTAGCCTCGATGGTCAATGGCGCGACTCTTCCCTCCAAGTTCCGGCGCTCTGCTGTCGGCGAGCCGGTCCTCGCCGAGCGCAAACCAGCCTCTAACGAAACCACTGCCCAGCGCTTCGTCCGCCGCCGAAAGGAATGGGAGGGCGATGACGGCAAGTGGCACGAGGACAGGTGGGGTTGGAAGGGCAGCAACAACGGCAACGGTAACAGCAACAACGGCGGTGGCACTGCCCACTGCAGCAGCATGACACCGTCGCCCTCGCCGTCGCCGCCGCCGTCGCCCTCCGCCCCTGCCTCGTCTGACACCCCTGCCCCGGCACCAACCCCCAGCTCGAAGTGGCAGCACGTCGACACCATCCAGGGCTCCAACTTCTTCGACTCGCAGTACTGGAACTGGTGGCATTGGGATGACCCGACCCACGGCGATGTCCAGTACGTCGATGCTGGCGTCGCATGGGACAACGGTCTAGTCTCGATCAACAGCGCGGGGCGCGCCATTATGCGTGTCGAGACGACGGAGCGTGTCGACCGCGGCCGCATGTCGGTCCGCATTCACGCCAACCGCGTCTGGACTGGCGGCATGGTCATCATGGACGCCGTCCACATGCCTATTGGTTGTGGCACCTGGCCCGCATGGTGGCAGAACGGCCCGAACTGGCCGGAAGGTGGCGAGATCGACATTCTCGAGGGTGTCAACGCCTTCACCAAGAACCAGGTCTCGCTGCACACCGGCCGCGGCTGCACCATGCCGCGCGACCTCGAAAACAACCAGCTCGGCAAGATGACGACGGGCAACTTCGACTCGTTCGACTGCTCGTCCGCTAACACGGGCAACCAGGGCTGTGGTGTGCACGACCAGTCCACCCAGTCGTACGGTGCCGGCTTCAACGAGATCGGCGGCGGCGTCTACGTCCTCGCCTGGCAGAAGTCGGGTATCACCGCCTGGTTCCACCCCCGCTACAACATCCCCGACGACATTACTAACGGCAACCCCAACCCCGACAACTGGGGCACCCCGGTGGCTCACTTCCCCTCGACTTCCTGCAGTCCCTACCAGTTCTTCTACGACCACTTCAACATCTTCGACACGACCCTCTGCGGCGACTGGGCCGGCGCCGATGCCGTCTGGCACCAGAGCGGTTACGCCGGCCAGGAGAGCAGCTGCGCCGCCATCACCGGCTACAACTCGTGCATCGACTATGTCCGCAACAATGGTCAAGCGTTCAACAATGCGTACTGGGAGGTCAAGTGAGTTGCCACCTTGGAGCTGCGAGCGGTGTTAACCCCAGCTACGTCAAGTACTTCAACTCCACCGAGCTTGTCTAAACCTCTCTGGTGGCTGTGCCGCCGGTAGCTTCATGACGAGAATGACCGTGATGAGTTGATGGACCATGAACGACCCATAAGGACGTTGACGTAGACAGCAGCGGTCGCCGCCTGGTGCGGTGGCTGCCATAATCAGGAGTGAGCCCACCTCTGTGAGGGGCCTCTGCGAGGATTCTCGCTCCCATATTCCGTAGCAAGGATGCAGTGTATCTATAGCACAGTGGTGACGTGATTCTGCAGCGCCCAGCGCCCAGCTCCAATTCCCTTTGGTCTCTCTTTGTTTTATGTATCTTGCAGTGCTACACATGGACCCGCCCTCGCACTTCTACTCGCCCTTCTCGCCATCGGTGCGCAGGAGCTTGATGAGTTTAGGAACGACGCGGCGGCAGGCGTCAGCTCTACCTCGGCACGACTTACTTCCACGCACGGTCGCACTGCAGCGCCGTGCGGTCGGGGAGCACGCCCTCCCACGCCTTCTGTGGGACCTTGGGCATGGCGTGATTGAGGAGGGCCAAATACTCAGCCGCGGTCCACTTGCGCCCGGCGGCGGGGCCACCAGCCGTCTTGCCCTTCTTCTTGGGCTTGTCGGCGAGGTCTGGCTTCGTGTCGGAGGCGGAAGTCAGCAACGGCGAGGGCGAGGAAGAGTGCACGCGCGGCCTGGACTTCTTGGGCTGGCGCTTGGGTTTCGGAGGTGGGGTTGGGGAGAGCTCGTCCTCAGATTCACGGGCGCGCTTCATGGTGATGAGGTGGATGAGGTGGATTGTTGAATTTGGGGGGAAGTACGACGTTGAGGTTATGAGAAGAGTGCTGGGGTGATGACCAGATTTAGAGAGGGTCAGAAGAAGTGTGACGATGGGTCAAAGGTATAAGGAGTATGGTGAGGCTTGGGAGGGAGAAGAGGTGGGTTGCGAGGTCGGGGGTGCGAACGGTGCGAGCGCGAGGTTGCATGTGAGTCTCCATGTGAATCCCGATGAGCTCTTCGCCGCTGGCCTCCGGCACAACCGTAGCTGCGCCCTCGCACCCATCACGCCCGATACTGATTACCTGCCATTCCTACCAGTGTACATGACGCTACGAAGCCGCCCTCGATCGCCCTGGCCGCACCGTGACGGCGAGCCCAGAATCTCCCTGCGGAGATCACTTCTTCACGCCCTTCTCGCGCGCCATTTTGTGCAGGTATGGGAGGAGGGTATTCCTGTCATGCGTCAGGCTTCATGCGACCCCGAAACTGGCGCACTCACTCCCACGTCTTGAGGCACTGTAAACCCGTACGCCCCGCGATCTTTCCTTCAAAGTTGACGCGGCTAGGGCCCGACGCGAGAGCGATGGTGAAGAGTGCATCAAGCTCTTCGCCCGTCCAGGCGCGGGGAGGGGCTTTGCCGCCGCCGCCGCCTTTGGTCTTGCGTTGCTTCTTGGGCTTGATGTCCTCATCCTCGTCCTCCGGCGGGTCGTAGTCGCTCGACGGCGCCCGCTTGGCTCGGCGCGGAAATGGTTCAGGAGATGGCGAGGGGCTGGGCATTTCGGGACTTTAGTGAGGATCAGTGAGGGTGAACGAAGGTTATGAGGTGAGAACTGGCCGGGTGAGCGCAGCCTACGCTTCATGACTGGACGGGGCACACATGCGAGGAGAAGCCGACAATCCTGCGCCCGCTCGCCGAGTCTCCTCACCAGCGCACGCGCCGCACCCAACCTCAAAGTCGCTACTCTTTGCACCGCTCTCTCACGCACTTCTTTGAAGCGCGAGCGTTGGCGCTGACCCAGAGAGCAATAGGATTCAGCAGGGGAATCCCGTGAGCACATTCAGTCGTCTCAGCCAGGGGGGCGATGTGGCTTCGCTGCATGCCTAGAAGCGTAAGGTATGCGATAAGAGGCGAGAGGTGAGATCAGGTGGTGACCAGCCGAGGATTGTGATTGTGTACTATACACCTAAAGACCTTCGCCTAAAGACCTTCGCCGACAATCGTGGCGCCCGTCGCTTTGTGTAGCCTGATTCATCCGCTGCCGAATACGAGTCTACGCCTGCTTCTTGTCGCCCTTCTCGCGCACCGCCTTGAGCAGGAAGGGCAGGACTGTCATGCTGCTGTCAGCTAGCGCAATCAGCCTAGTAGCTTACTTCCAGGTGCCGACGCACTGCGCGGCTGTGCGACCGGGTACCTTGCCCTCAAAGTTGGTCCTGGAAGCGCCCCCGCTGAGAGCGATGTTGAGGAGGCTGACGAGCTCTTCGCCAGTCCACGGCCGAGGCTTCGCCTTTCCGTTCTTGGTCTTCTTAGGTTTGTGGTCATCCTCGCTCTCTGATGGCGAGCGCTCGCGCTTGACGCTCTGGCGCTTGGACTGGGTGGCCGCTGAGCCGGGCATGGGGGATGGCTTTCGGAACCTGGTGAGGAGGGGAAGGAAACCGATCAGGTGGGATGGTGGATGATGTCAACGTGACAACGCAAGATCAGACAACTGAAAGTTCACGGACGGGCGCATGGGCAAAGGAGTCATGTGAGTGAGCACCCCGTGCGTGGTGAAGCTTCCTGGCAGCCAGTGGACAATCTGCGGCGCATGCCACAGGGCGGATCAGCTCTGCATGCTGCAGCTGTAGTCTAATCATGGCCACCGGCGATGTATTGACGGCCCCTACCGTCAGCTCAGTACAAGATGCTTAGCTCACAAGGCCGTGACATTGCCGACCGCATCCATCAGACGGTTTAGCTCGTGTACGCCATGAAGGTGGTAGCTATTGCGGACCGCTCCGAACCAGGCATACCGCCTGTAATCAGCATCAAAAGAATGCAATGAAAGGCTCACTCGATCCACGGCGTCTCGTCCAGCCATTTGGTTGCTTGTCCTGTTGTCAGCTGGATGAATTAGAACCCCAGTGCTTACCCATAAAGTTGTGCACCTGCTGCATGTCATGGGGAGGTGGGACATTAGGATCGAAGCTCTATGAGTCAGAGCCTTGCCGGATGCATGGGCGAGCCCCACACCTCACCGGCTGCGCAGTTGACTCACTGTCATGGCAAACTCCGTGAGAATGATGGGCAGCCCAAACTCCCGGTAGTACTCCTCAAGCTTGTCGCGCAGCGACTCAAAAGTGGTGGTGTACACGTGCACGGCAAGGAGGTCAGGCCGAGCTCCCGGAGGAAGGTAGGAGAAGAACTCCTGGACGGGTGAGCAAGCTTGCAAGTCGGCAGCTTACCTTAAGCCAGTTGAGGTCGACTGCCACAGCAGGCGAGGCAAGTCGCCTCCCTGGTGATCGCAGTTTGGCGAGTTCGACCCAGCTCTCTGTCAGCTCTGGGTGCTTCGAAGTTAGATGATATATGCAGTAACCGCGTTTCCGTGGTACAGGCGCGCGAGGTGCAAACCCCACCATGGACGGTCGCCGCACCGCGGCGCATCAACTCACGCAGCGGCACACTCAGCAGGCGACGTCTGCACGGCGACGGCGGGATTGGCGTGATCTCGAGTCAGTTCATCGGCGGGGGGG